TTAACAGAGGGATAGAATCAAGATCACGTGAAGTGTTAATTCCACTTTACAATGCCTTGGTAAGGCCACACTTGGAATACTGCATCCAGTTTTGGTCACCGCGATGTAAAAAAGATGTTGAGACTTTGGAAAGAGTACAGAGAAGAGCAACAAAGATGATTAGGGGACTGGAGGCTAAAGCATATAAGGAACGGCTGCTAGAATTGGGTATGTCTAGTTTAATGAAGAGAAGGACGAGGGGGGACATGATAGCAGTGTTCCAATATCTCAGGGGTTGCCATAAAGAAGAGGGAGTCAAGCTATTTTCCAAAGCACCTGGAGGCAGGACAAGAAGCAATGGGTGGAAACTAATCAAGAAGAGAAGCAACCTAGAACTAAGGAGAAACTTCCTGACAGTGAGAACAATTAACCAGTGGAACAACCTGCCTCCAGAAGCGATGAATGCTCCAACACTGGAAGTTTTTAAGAAGAGACTGGACAGCCATTTGTCCGAAATGATATAGGGTTTCCTGCCTGAGCAGGGGGTTGGACTAGATGACCTTCAAGGTCCCTTCCAACTTTACTATTATTATTATTATTATTATAATTATTTATTGAATAAACCCCAAGTGCTTGGATTCACGCACGCTATATTATAACCCGGGTTTTACAAACCATAGTGGCTAAGAGTTCCCACACTACCACAATCCAAGCACCTGAACGATGACTTAGTGTCATTATCTGTTAACGACAGCAGTCTTTATCTGCTGTGTTTTTATAATGAATGATTTTAATGTTTTCAATGTCGCTATATTGTAAGCTGCCCAGGGTTGTTGGATACAAGATGGAAGGCAAATAAATATAATTAATTAATTAAATGTCTTTGCCAATCTGACCTTGCATGGAAGAGCTGCAAAGAGAGTGAGCTGTGATTTCAAAATCCACAGCTGAAAGGTGACTTTTGGCCAGGAATAAACAAAGTGGACTTTAGCAAGGGACTCCTACCTTGCTGAATTACATTGCATTCTGTTTATAGAGAATGATAAAGACTCCAAAAGAATGCTATTTGTTTCCTACTTTGAAAAAAACCTTGAGAGATTATGCATGAATCTCTTCTCTTTCACACCCACACACACACACACACACACAGCACCATCACCACCATTTTATTTCTGTGGCTGCTCTGTGAAATGCCATCAGCAAGATTAGCAAAAATGTTTAAAAACATGTCAGATAGATGTTGGAAGTGCAAACACAAGTCAGGTATTTATTACCATGTTTGGTGGACATGTGCCAAAGCAAAGAGTTATTGGAAAAATATATATACATGGCTAGAAAAGATGTTGGGAAAACATGTAGATTTTAAACCTGAACTTTTTTTATTAGATATAATGCCAGAAAAGACTGATAAACAAAACATATATTTGATTTTACATGTAACAACAGCGGCAAGAATTATATTTGCANAGAGGGAGTCAAGCTATTTTCCAAAGCGCCTGGAGGCAGGACAAGAAGCAACGGGTGGAAACTAATCAAGGAGAGAAGCAATCTAGAACTAAGGAGAAACTTCCTGACAGTGAGAACAATTAACCAGTGGAACAACCTGCCTCCAGAAGCGGTGAATGCTCCAACACTGGAAGTTTTTAAGAAGAGACTGGACAGCCATAGGGTTTCCTGCCTGAGCAGGGGGTTGGACTAGATGACCTTCAAGGTACCTTCCAACTTTACTATTATTATTATTATTATTATTTTCTTGGATAAAATTTATTTATATGTTCACTAAGAGTCAATATTGACTTGATGGCATCTTTCCCTGGTTTATACAGATATCAACATAAGTCATAATGTAATATGACTGTTTTGGGGTTTATTATGCTGTGTAATGCATCACAGAAAAGCTACTGCTTCTTGATTTATGAAGCCTGAGTAGTTTTAGTTTTGAATATTGCTGAACTTCATAATTAATCCCTGATTTGCTTTAATACTCTCTCCAAAATCTATATATTATTTGAAGCAAAGGAACAAAACAAATCAGGCTTTGATTAATTTGCTTTTCTGCCTGGCTAGTTTCAATAAACTAACAACCTTCATCTGTTACTCTGTTTTATCTTGATTTTTATGTTTTTTTAAAATAATTTTTAATATATTAACTTTTTTTAGCTGCCCAAAGTCACTTGTTTGTGAGATAGGTGGCTATATAAATTGGTTCAATAAATAAATATTTTTTTAAAAAATCCTGACATAGACCAGGTTCATATATTTTATGTTGGAAATGTGGGTTTGAAGGACTACTTTATCTGTGTATGTATATGAGATGCTCAGTTGTCTCCACTCATCCTGATTTTGATCTGGTTTGCCTTGATAAATGGATTTCAGCTGAAGCAGTTACATGATGGAGGGATCAAAAGAGCAGTTTTGCATCCTGCATCCTCTAGTTCAGCCCAGTTTTATGTACTAGTATAAAACTATGCCAACTGTAGATAATGTTATCAATCAACATTTCTTGTTCTAAAGCAGTGTTTCTCAACCTTGACAATTTTAAGGTATGTGGACTTCAACTCCCAGAATTCCACAGCCAGCAATGCTGGCTGTGGAATTCTGGGAGTTGAAGTCCACATGCCTTAAAATTGTCAAGGTTGAGAAACACTGTTCTAAAGCATAAAGCATTTGTGATGTTCAGTTAAAAAAAAACCCAGAAAGCCTTTATATAACATAATGCTTAGTGGAAAATAAGAGCAATTTTTACATGATTATTTTATAATCCAAAGTAAATTCTATCTTGCTCTCAACCTAGGTAATAGATTTTAGACAGGAGTTTTGCCACCAGTTCTCTAGAATTTTAGGAAAGGTTTCAAGGCACTTCTTTTTACATTGACCTTTTTATTATACAGATAGTCATTGATTTACAACCATTTGTTTAGTGACCATTCAAAGTGAAGCAGTCCTGGAAAAAATAACTTATGACCTTTTTTCACACTTACAACCATTGCAGCATCCCCCTGGTTACGTGATTAAAATTTGGTCAATTGGCAACTGGCATGTATTTATGACGGTTGCAGTGTCCCGGGGACATGTGCTCACCTGACAAGCAAAGTCAATGGGGAAGCCAGATTTACTTAACCACGTTACTAACTTAACAAATGCAGTGGTTCACTTAACAATTGTGGCAAGAAAGGCCTTAAAATGAGGCAGAGTTCACTTAGCAAGTTTCTTGCTTAGCAATGAAAATCTTGGAATATAGGGCTACCTATGTTCCAATTTAGGGCTCATTTTTAAAGGTAGGCATATTTTTTCTACACTGTCCTCATAGCTTCTTGCAGAAATCTTCATAATCTGGCATGCTTATACATGATAACCTGCTACTATACAATATTACAATTAGACTATGTAATTTTGTTTAGTTTATATTTAATTGTCTTTTCATTTTAGCTACCTTGTCATGCCATTTATGGGAACAGACTTAAGTAAAATAATGAAGCATGAGAAACTAACTGAAGATAGGATCCAGTTCCTGGTCTACCAGATGTTAAAGGGCCTAAAGGTTAGATCTTTCTCTTTCAATTGCTTTGTTGGCTTTTGTCATCATTCTCTCTTCTCATATCCTTTCCTATGATAAGTAGTAGTAAAGGCATCATGCTAGAAACCAGGAGACTGTGAGTTCTAGTCCTAACTGCCTTAGGTACATTGCCAGCCAGGTAACTCTGGATCTATTATTTTCAGCTCTGGGAAGGAGGTAATGCCAAACCACTTCAGAAAACCTTTTGTTACAAGAAAATTGCAGGGACAATCCTTACTCTGAAGGAATTTTGATTCTTACATTTTCATTGGTGAATCTTTTTCTTTGTGAGGATTTGAATTTTAAATCCTTTTAGGTTCATAAGCTCTGATTATTTGCACAAAACCCTTCTAGTTTCTCTGTTAGTTCTAAATTTAATTAATTTGAAGGTAAATTAATTTACTTATGAACTTTATTTGTACTGTGCAGAAAATGAGGAATTCTGGCAAATAAACAAAAATAAACTGCTTCATGACTTGTCTGAAGCTGGGGTTACAGTTTTTGGTCCTGAAATATCCAAGATGTGTAAGCTTCCTTTAAATCATGTTACAAAACTGTTTTGAAGATCCTGAATTACTTGGCAACAATCAGTTATTCTTCTAGATTTGGGCTTAATGGTAAATTATGTCTCCTTTTATTTGCAGAAGGAGGGAAGGGGAAAGGAAGGGAAGAATAGAGTAGGGATAGGGATGATGAATAGGGATAAAGTAGAGTGAAGTGGAATGGAATGAAATTTTGTGGTCAGGTTTAGGTTTTGCCACTGCTGAATTTACTGCAAACCAAGCAAGGAAAACAACTTTGGGTCTCATGTTGTACTCTAATTCTTTAAGCCAGAAAGTCATCTCAGTTGCAATGTGCAATCTGGCCCAGATGCAGGGAGAACTGGAAAGGCAGAAATGTTGTACCTGGTGTTTGCTGAGAAGCAACACCTGGCTGTTTTCATGTTTTTTTAAACTTCCTGTTAACATCAACCAGAAATGAAAACTATCTTTTTGAAAAAGAAATGGGACACTTGATGTTGTAGTACTGTCATGGCAGATTAATAATGATTTCATATATTTATTTGATTGATTTCCTACCTTTCCTCTACAAGTTTGAGGATACAGATAGGGAGCATTTATCCTCCCACAACAACAACCCCATGAGATATATTGAATTGCAATAGTGACTGATTCCAAATCACCCTGTGAGCTTTCATGGCTCAGGCAGGTCTTGAATCTGTGCCTTCCCAGTCCTAGTCCATCACATTCATCACTGCATTACAAAATCACCAGCAGAAATCATTGTTTTTCTCTGTTTCTTGTTAGCTTCTTCGGAAGCTTTGCTTATCTACAAATATTTCCATAATGATCCTTTCGTACTCTATATTTGTGTATATTTTCTTACACACAAAATACATTGTAGAAATGTGCAAACATAAGTGTTCATGCTAAAGTTTCAAATGTTTTTTTCCTGCTAATATTGTAGTAGGAAGAAGTGAAAGGCTAAGATTAAAATGGCTGAAGGCTCTAGTTTGGGAATCCCACATTGATGGCAACGCCATCTGTTGAAGTGAAACAAGGACAGAAATAGAACCAAGAAGAGCTATGGTGTAGAAAATCACCATCTGAGCTCTGTTTTGCAAATTCATTTTATCTGGAACTTTAGTGCTTGCAGGGAAGAAGGGCAGACATTTGGTCTTGAGCCATAATTCAAAAGACTGGTTTCCTACATATGTAGGTAAGGTAAATTGTTGGGCTGCAGCAAAGAGATAATCCTCCATTAACAGTGTTTGGTTTGATAGAAGAATTTTGAGTTTTCCATTCATATGTTTCTCAATCTAGATATCTGATTTCTGACAACTTAAAGATTGATTTCTAGGTTGTTGGATTGCAACTTCCATAAAACACAGCTAAAGTACAGTAGGTAGGGTCTTTTTGAGTTGAAAGACAAATTTTAATTTCAAAAGCTTTTCATGGACACTGACAAAATGGCTGTTCCCTGTGAACTCTTGCCATTCGTGTAACAAATGTTATAGTGAGGGCATTCAGGTCACAAAATAGCATTTATGAAAAGGCAAACAGATGAGGCTGTTCTGTGTCTCATATTCTAATCTTGCAAGATGCTCATTATTGGCCCAGATTACCTTTATCCATTAACAAGATGGGTATTCATGCAAAGTGCACCATTGAAGACTCCAAACATTTTTGATTCCTAAGAACTATAAAGAGGTTGTGTGGGGCCCTGAGGCATATCTATAAATATAGACAAAACTATAGCCTGATGTTTTACTTAGCAGAAGACCTTTTTTAAAATAAAAAAACGAAAGTCAAATCAGGATGAGAATGACTACTTACACCACAATGGTTCCCCATGGATTGTTTTTGCCATTACTCTGAAAAGCTTTGGAACAAAAAAAACATATTTCATCGATAGCAAATGAGTAATGTGTTTTTTGTTTCTTTCCACAGTATATCCATTCATCTGGCATAATTCATAGAGTAAGTAAAACTCTTCAGGCTTTTCTTTTTGATAGGTTTATATATTCTTGTAGAAAGATTCTCTTCAATCATATATCCATATATAATGCTTGGAATTTTTATCCTGAAATTTTATACTGAAATATACAAAGAAAGATAACGTTTATTGCACAATTTTAATTATTGATACCTACAAGGCTTCATTGAAAAAGTCTTTGCTGTTTTAATGAGTACTTGATAATGTATTCCTTGGGCTCTTTGATGTACTATTTGCAAAATTACAGCTTAAATGCAAATTAAACTCTATCCTTCAGGAATTATTACAATAATCATTTCCAATTCAATATAAACGTGATGAATAGTACAGGTTTCTTTTGTGATTGATTAAAAGGAGATCAGGATGTTTGCATGCATGTAATATTTTCATTTTGCTCAGTGGAAATGTTATAGTTCTATATGTACACACATGTTTGACTTTGGAATTTTTTTAATACTATTGCTTGCTTCCTTGGCTTCTGTAATTTATTTTTCAGTCACTGCCAGAGAAGCTTCTGGCTGAGTATTGGTCCCTATGTTCATATTTGGCAACACATCAATCCATTTGCATTCTGGGCCATTGTTTGTCTTGAACAACTAAAAAAAAATGCCTGCCTTTGAAATAAATACTTCCAACTACAAATAAATTTAGTTTTAGATTTCTTGTTTTAAACATCTTCATAGGATTTAAAACCTGGAAACCTAGCGGTTAATGAAGACTGTGAGTTGAAGGTAAGAAACTGAATGCTCTAGTTGTTTTTTCAGAAGTAAATACTGGGGAATCTGGAAGTATGTCAGATATAACTAATGCGAAAAGCATTTTAAAAATGAGAACAGGTTACAGTCTGTAGCACTATTGTGTGAAGTAATAGACTGTTAATGTCTGTGTGCCTGGATTAACTCCAGATTTCCTGACTAAGGGTAGACTCTGCGACATTGCACATGTATGTAAGGATGATTGCTTATAAAAGAAGTTTGTTATCATTTTTCCAGAAGCTTAAGCTTGAATGTTTTACATAGATAATTATTGGATTTCATCCTGTTATTTGTAAGAAGACAGCAGAATCAGGTCTTTGTCTTTTACAAAAGGTATCTTTAATTAAGCTGTGGAAAATAAGATACAAGCTGGAAACATAGCATGCTCTCCTAGATTGGGGTAATAGGAATACAATGCTGAGTAGACACCCTAGGGCTTTTCACTTTGTAAGGCTTTCATTTAGACAATTGAGCATCTTAATAAAGGCTCTGTTGATGGGGTTCATGTAAAAAGCTTCAAAAAATTAAATTATTTTTGAGTTAATGTGGATTGACTGAAGCTACAAGCAGTTAGTTCAGTATGACCTTCAGTTTGGGGTATATGTAACAACCATAGCTGGTTACTGAGTTCAGGATTTGTATGAATTTATGGCAAAGAAGACAATCTTTCTAACAAGCAGTAATCCATAGGAGAGCACATTAACACAACATAGATTGCTTACGTTTTGTTAGAGCATCGTGTCTGTGTTTAAACAGATACACTGTTTTTAAAAAAATTTCCAACAGAAAAAGAGGAATTAAACAGAGGGTTAGATGTAAAGTATTTTCATGGAAATGCAGCAAAATCCTCTGAAAACATGCAAAGCTTCTTACCTGCCAGCTGTTAAATTGCAACTTTAATATAAGAAAGCAATTACAGGTAGTCCACAACTTATGATCAGTTATTTAATGACTGTTCAGTCATTACAGGCTTGAAATGGGTGCTTTAGAGATCATAAAGTGCTTCCTGTTGTAATAAAATCTCACGCTTCTTTCCCATCACATGACTACATTTTTAGCACTTAGCAGCCTGTTCTCATTTACAACCAATTGCCAAATGTCCTGCAATCATGTGATTGCAGTTTATAATTTTCTCTCCCAGTTTTGCCAGTGCTGGGAAGCACCCAGCCTAGCAGGGAGAAGAAATCAAGCTCAGAGCTAGCCTGGAGTCACAGTACAACCACAAAAGGGTCAACCCTCCCTAAGTTCCTTGGAGCCTTATCTACTGGGTTCCAAGATTAGACTGCTAGACTGAGGAGATTCCTGTATTATAGACAGAACATAATAAAGTAGTTAACTCAAACTCTGCATGTGTGTGTCTGGTTGGGTGTGCCTAACACCCAGAAAGTCAATTGGGGAGTCAGCAGAGAAGTTTGAAATGGAGGGGATGTTGGATTTCATCCATTGCCCTAGTGTAGCAGCCCCCAATCTTTTGGGCACCATGGACCTGTTCCATGTAGAAAGATTTTTCCACAGACTGGAGGGGTGTGTGGTTTTGTATGCTGCCTGCAGATGGGGCTTCGCTTGTTTGCGCGGACCGGTTGTTGGCATGCCACGGACCGGTGCCAGTCCACGGACTGGGGGTTGGGGATCCCTGCCCTAGTAAGCAGAGGGACTTTCCCCTCTATGCAGGGAGGAAAAATCCATCCACACACTGGAGGAATGGTCCTCAAATCTGGCAAAAACACTGACAAAACCTAGCATTCTCGTGATCGTTCTCCCTGGCTTGGACCCTCTCCTCTCTTCACCATGTCCTGGAAGCCCAGGCTCCAGCAGTCTGCTTAATGACCCACACCATTGCTTAACAACTGCAAGAGGGAGAGGCAGGATTGCAGTCGGTGAACAAAGTGGTCCCATGGTATCTCAATCAACAAGATTTCAGGTCCAATTGTGGTTATAAGTGGAGGATTACCTGTTAAGTGCTTTATTTCAGTTTTTTAAATCATAACAATTTAATTTAAAAAATTGCATTGAATTGGTTCCACATTTTGGTACATGCAGTAATGAATAGTGAGATTGATTTTCAAATTGTATTTCCATCAACTTTGGGCATAGTATCCCTGAACCCTATGTAATGCTTGGAGCTGGAGGTCTTTGACACTTTGCATGGCATTTTGGAGTAGCTGATAATGGGGGGGGGATCTGTTTCTGCCAGCTGCATTGTTACGGCCTAAAAAGTAAGCTCAAAGCTTTCTCAGTAGCTGTGAATATATGAATAATAAGCCAAATTCATGTGGTTTTAGTTTTGCTGCCTTTATGATTATATAATGTAAAAAATAATTCCTGTGAACTGAGATTTCCACCTACTACTATCAGGAAAAATGTAATATATAGAACTTGCGTTTATGATGATTGAATAAATAGCATGTAATGAATAGGGCTTTGAGATTCTTGTCCTTGCAAAAATGCTATTTAATATGAACAAAGCTACAAAATCCAAATAACCATTTGCATTCCTCTAAAATAAGGGCATCATTTCATTGCAATCAATTATTTGGATAATGTTGTAAGTTGAATGAAGGTAATGAGAAAATATATGGATATGAGAAATGTATTTTAGCAATGAGACAGAAATGTAATGTAGCCTGTTAGGGATCTCTAACTATTTTCAAGGGAATAGGTTTACATTTTTAGGAAGAGGCCATTGAATTAATAGGATTTAAGAATGATAAATATATTACTAGATATTTTCCAACATGAACAAATCTCATTCCAATTCAAGGTGTTTATGACATTCCAGAAATGAAAATGGATTATATTTTGTTCCTCTAAAACAGATTTTAGATTTTGGGCTGGCAAGACATACAGATAGTGAGATGACTGGCTATGTGGTTACTAGGTGGTATCGAGCCCCAGAAGTTATACTTAATTGGATGCATTATACACAAACAGGTAATTTTTGTATTTGCTAGAAACTGTTTTTCTGTGCTGGGGTTTCTGAAACCACTGATTTCATCACTTCTATTGCGAAAGAGCGGCAGCTTTACAAAAACTATCTTGTAATCTCCTCATAGACTAACTGAAAAAGTCTGTTGTTTTATTTGCAGAGACATTGAATAAAATTGCAAAGAATTGAACCACAGGTAGTGTAGCTGTTTGCATATTAATTTCCATAACGTTTCTAGAGGGAAACATCTTAGTTCTAGTCATCTGCAGAACAGGTTTCTGAAATTCTTGGGTTTCAAGGCTTTGCCATTTCTGCAATGTTTGACTTCACTTGTCTGGTTTACGTATTCAGTGATTCTTAACAGTGGCCCCTTACTGTGGGGACTTGGAAGCTGAGTAGCCATATGTAGCTCCTGAAAATTCTGCCTGCAAGTAGTCTTTGCTTACCAATCAATCATTTGTTGATCAACCATTTGAAGGTAGAGTAGCGCTGTCAAAGGAGAGTTACAACCAATTCTCAAAGTTTTTGCCAGCACCTTCGCTCTCACGTGATTTGCAACCTGGGCACCTGGCAACTGGCTTGTAGTACAATGGTTGCAGTGTTCTGCAGTCACATGATTGCCATTTGCAACCTTCCTTGCCGTCTTCCCACAAGCAAAGTTCCATAAGCAAAATCTCAGTCTCTCTCATCCTGGAGTAGCCACCCCAAACCTCACCTAACCTTCACAAACCATCACATACCCTGCAGCTCCAATTACCATAATTAAATGAAGATTACCTGTATTGCCTTTCATGCTTCTATTCCTATGTCAGATACAAGTATCATCATTGTGATTACATAGGATCTCTCCCACAATTTCCTCGTCTTCCTCTTTCTCCAAATGCTATCCTGAAGACTTAGACCAACAATTATTTTCTCTGTGCCAATTTTAAGTATTAATTACTACTGATTGCATTTCTGACAAGGGAAGCTGGTACTTCCAGAAAACTCATTTCACAATAATAAGCCAACCATGTTATTTTTATTTTTTTTAAAATAATAGCCTACTGATTCATAGAACTCACTGGACCTGATTATTTTTTTCAGTGTAACACAAGATTTATGAGCGGATAAAATGGAAATGAGACTATATCAAGCTGAGCTCCTTACATGAAAATTTAAAATGTAATAAAGAGCTGGCACAACAGACAGCTTTAATTCGGATCATACCTAGCTGCTTCATCAATGCTAAAGAACAGAAACTTTGAAAGAAAGAAGATGCCTGTAGATCAGACCATCAAGATTCTAAAAAGCATTCATTGAACTATTGAAATTGCAGAAATAGAATACATATTTTCGGTTACAAATCACAAAACACTGGTTTTGTGTTGTTGCTTTCTTTTTAAAGGTTTTGTGGTTGATTGATGAGCTGAATTTAGATGCTGCTCACACCAATTTAATGGGTGCATTTTCTGTATTTCAGTGGATATCTGGTCAGTGGGGTGTATAATGGCTGAGATGGTGACAGGAAGGCCCCTTTTCAAGGGCAATGATCGTATCCTTTCTTGATTAATGCTTCACATTAAGTTGGAGAAATATGCAAAAACTCAGGTATCAAAGTAAGTCACTTTGTAGTCACTTCAAGTGAAAAATGATCAGTTGAGCTACTTATTTGCAAACATCAAGCCAGATTTAGAGATCCATAGCTTTGCCAGAAAGTTGTGAGATTAATAGTTTGTCCCACCTCATAGCAATAGTGATAGCATTTAGGCTTATATCAACCCATAGCACTTTACAGCACTCTCTGGGCAGTTTGCAATGAAGAAACATTATTTACACGTTGCACCCAACAATCTGGGTCCTCTTTTTACCGATCTTGGAAGGATGGAAGGCTCTAGCCATGTCAGGATCGAACTTCAGGCTGTGGCAGAGTTTGCCTGCAATACTGCATTTTAACTACTGCTCCATCAGGACTCTATTATAATTAAATTAAATATAATTAAATGCTGGTTGAATGTCACATTTTTGGCTCCAACATTTGGCATATGGGTTGCATTTTAGTTTATTTTATATGTGTTGATGCAGTTTATGTCAATGGGCATTTTTAGAGGCTCAAAATGAGTTATGAAAAATCAGTGTTTAAAGACAAACATAGCTTTCTGTCTTCAACATTTGGAAGACAAGGTCATTGATTCTAGTTTAACAAAGAAAGAAAGCTGAAATTTTAATGTAGTTATTGTAAGGTCCTGCCTCAGTTATTACTCCCAAGAAAGCAGAACTCTTGAAACAGGCATTGTTTCAAACAGGAACTTTTATTGAGAGTCAGTGAAAGCAGAAAGGCAAAGCAAGATCTGAGGAAGTCCCACGTAAATTGTTACATTAAGGTTTTCCTTGACAACCCCCCTCAGTGTCCAACCTTTCAGCGCTCTTCCAGCCAATCTATAGGTGTGAAGTTGTTATGGGAACCGGAATGATAAGGGATGGTTCCCAGGCCCTGTGTCTTCTTTTTACAATAGCTCAGAGATAAGGCAGATGGCTCCGGGCACATTCTTCCCCTTCTTCACACCCAAAGCGATACATCAAAACGTAGAGAGAACAAAGTAAAGGAAATACATCCGTGAGTCCCCCTCCCGTCAGAATGGCAGAGCGCCGAAAATATGATTATGAACGGGTCCTGACAGTTATAAAAGCTTTTACAAATTGTTAGCTTGAGAACACACAAAGAAATGACCAAAAATAGTTGTTAATTCCTAACCAACTGCCACTAGTTGTGAAAAAATACATGAAGTATATATATTATATGGTTTGATTTCAAAAGTAAGAAAATCAGATCAATTATATCATTTTTAATGACATGCTGACTGAATATTTGATTCCTGACTTTGACATTCAGATCTGGACCAGCTTACAGAAATTATGAAAGTTACAGGCACACCAACTCAGGATTTTGTTCAGAAACTACAAAGCCAAGATGTAAGTTGCTGCTTTTGCAAAATTTACATGAGCAGGTTCAGAAATAGATGGTTCTGTGGTACTTAAATGTACTGGTGCTATTTTGATATTTTCTTTTAACACGGCATAGAAAACAGCAAACCAAGGAAATCTGGTTAGAAACTATTAGAAACTTGTTTTAGTTGGGTTTTTTTTCATACACTTTTTTATTCACAGTCATCAGTACCCCATTAATATAAATCATGTGTGTCAAACTTGATCGTGTCACGTGAGCTGGGGTGGGTGTGGCTTGTGCATGATGCATCCGGCCCATGGGCCGCCAGTTTGACACCCCTGATATAAATGATTGCTATCTTAAAATCTATATATTGTTAAGAAATTTTATGTGGTTCTAATTTTTAAAAAGAAATATTTCAGGCAACTTCTGTTTGAAACTTTACTTATTGTGATTCTTTTACCCTTCAGATGTTGCTAAACTTCCCTTTTCCATGTTAGATATGCTTGATGTAAGAACAAATTGTCACATGATCACAAGAATATGATCTGAAATCAAGAAAGAGATAGGTGGAAACTGTTTATCCTAACCAATAGAATGAGATGGAGACTTCTGACATCACTTCTGATGAGATGGACAGCTATATAAATTTGATTAATAAAAATTATAAATCACACAGACAAAAATAAGAGGTGCAAGAATGTAAAACTTGACTTACATTGTATATAGGTAATCCTTGATTTATGACCACAATTGAATCCAGAATTTCTGTTGCTAAGCAGTTGTTAAGTGAGTCACACTCAATTTTGCAAACTTTTTGTTAAGCAAATCACTTGTAGTTGTTAAAATAATAACCCAGGTATTAAGCAAATCTGGCCTCCCACATTAACTTTGCTTGTTGGAAGCTGGCCGGGAAAGTTGCAGATGGCAACCACATGACCCCAGGTACTGCAACTGTCATAGATACATGCCAGTTGCTAAGGCCCAAATTTTGATAAAGTGACCATGGCGATGTTGCGATGTTGTAAGTGTAAGGATTGGTTGTAAGTCACTTTTTCCAGTGCCATTGTAACTTCAAACGTTCACTAAACGAATCGTTGTAAGTCGAGAACCACCTGTACATAGCACTTCCCTTTGTAGTGGCCTTATAAGCTTTTCTGTAGTAAGCTCATCAGAAGCTCTAATATTCTTGAAAGACAGGTAATGTGTTTCAGTTATGTTTGCCAAGAGAACCTTGAACATGGGGGATCAACAATTTCTGCCCAATTTTAATTCATTTATTATAGCCAGTTCAGAATATAACATAGGAACTGACTTTATGTGTATATAGATTTATGTAGGGGATGCTGTGACTCAGCGGTTAAAAACTCTGAACTTGTCTGAAAGCTGACAGCCTGGATTTCAGATCTGAGCGCCATGCCCATCTAGCAGTTCAAAAGCATGCAAAACGTAAATAGATAAATAGGTACCACTTCTGTGGGAAGATAACAGCATTCTGTGTTCCTCAGTGTATAGTCATGCTGGCCACATGACCACGGAAGCATCTTCGGACAATGCTGGCTCCCTTGGCTAAGAAACAGAAATAAGCACGGCCCCCTAGAATTGGACATGACTGGAAAGGGGAAACCTTTACCTTTATGTGTATATGTACATGTATACACACACACACACACACACATACATTTCCAAGATTTATGATTTGCCTGCATCTGTGGTCTGAGAAACTAAAATCAAATTATCTTAAACTATAGAAATTATTGAAAGTATGCAAATTGTATATGAATTAATTTAGGATCTTCAGATCCAAAGTGAACTCATATGTAATGAGTTGTATTCCACAAGTGCATTTTTTCCCATATATTCACTAGGAATGAAATCCAGTTTGATGGCATCTAATTTATTTTTCTTTGTTTCTTTTCCTGAATCAATAACAATTCATATCCAATAATCTTTGTGTCTGTTTATTTTAAGGCAAAAAATTATATCAAAAACCTTCCACAAGTACAGAAAAAAGATTTTGCTGCCATTTTGAAAAATGTAAACCCTTTAGGTAAGTTAAATAATGATGGATGTAGTATATTAGAAAATTATGTGATATCAAGATAGTAAACAGGTTGAGTTATCTTCTATCCTACATAAAAAAAAAACTTTCAAAATTTTTTTTGTGCCCTGTGAAAATTTCATTGTAGAATTATTTTCTCAATAATTTCTTCATAAATGTCAGATTATCTGGCTAATAAAGGTAAGCTTTTCCTGCTAGATATACTTTATTATAAATTACAGTTCTTTGAGCTTCTGGTCTTTGAACAACTACATGACCTCTAGAAGATGCAGAATTTACACAAAATATTAAGTACATGCTTGATCTATTTCCAGAGAGTTTGTCCTTAAATCTCCTTTCTAATTTGTTGATCCAGCTGTAAACTTGTTGGAAAAGATGCTGGTGTTAGACCCAGAGAAGAGAATAACAGCAAGTGACGCTTTGGCACATTCTTATTTCGAAACCATTCATGATCCCGAAGAGGAAAACAAAGCAGAGAAATATGATGACACTTTTGACAACATGGATCTGCCCCTGGATGAATGGAAGTGTATGTTTGGAATTGTTGTGTTGAATAGCAGTCTTCTAATGAAGATGAGATTGGTGTAGGAAATCTTATCTATATTCTACAAATAGATTTTTATACATTTTAATTAAAATATAATTCAGGGGAACTGAGGAATCTGCTGCATTAAATGAGACTCAGAAATACTTCTTTGTCCTTGCTGTTCCATTCTGTCTCTTTGACCTATATTATTTCCTCTTTTCTAATTAACATTCTAAACTCTTAGACAAATGTCTTTCCTAGGCTCAGTTCTACAAAGGACTTGAATATACATAGATGGGCAAGAAATGAGTGAACAGCAAGGAGAAATATAAATAGCTGTGAAAACTTCTATAAGCAGAAATGGCATGGTATAAATTTAATAGTAATTATTAAAACTGCCCTTATCATGAGGGAAAAAATATTCTTTGCTGACAGCATTCTGTAAATTTCGCATTACAAAAATTAATTGGGGAGTTTTTTTCTGTCCCAATGTGTTTTAATCAGAGACGCATGCTCATTAAGATGGCTAAATTCTTTTCAATCTTACAGGGCTATGTGTGCAAGCAATATACTGATGATATTGGTTAATAGACTTATTAACACAATTATAAGATCTCAGGAAAAGATAAACAATTTTCGTGAACAAGTCTGACATGTTTGCCTACACCAAGCTGCAGATCACTTTCCTCCTTCTCCCAAGTCTGGATTACTGCACCATCTTAATAAATTTTGCTTTAAAAAAAAATGTTTTCCTGAATCTAACGTGAATATTTTTGTGTTTAACTTTTTCAGGTATCACGTATAAAGAAGTTGTAAACTTTAAGCCACTTCAGTTGTCCGAGTCAAAAGAAACAGTAGTATAACCTCAAGTTGTGTGTTTGTTTAAAAACTGAGTAAATAAAAGAGACTGTAAATGTTATGTAAATGTATATGTATATATGTATATAATTATATAAATCTTTTATAAATAAATGAGATGTAATCATTTTAATATGAATTTTGAAGCCATTGGGCTCAAAAGTTTTTATATCGTAAATTACAGCAGTCCCTCTGTAATTAGTCCTATTATAAGAGAAACAAAACTTTTTTTCCTAAGATGGATCATCTCTATTATGATATTTTTCAAGGTATGCTTCAATTACAGGTAGTACTCGACTTACGACCACAATTAGGATCAGAATTTCCATCATAAATCATTGTGATTGTAAGTTAAATCAAACCTGATTTTATGATAATTTTTACAGCCATCATTAAGTGAATCAACACAATTGTTAAGTGAATCACACGATCAGTAAGCAAATCCACATTTCTCAATGGACATTTTTTGCCTGAAATTGGCAAACACAAATTGTGATCACGTGACTGCAGGGTGTTGCAGTTGGTCGTAAATGTGAGCCAATTGTGCAGGGATGGTGCAACAGTCATAAGTGAAAGTACAGATTGTAAATTGCTTTTTCCAAGGTTGTTGTAACTTTGAACCATCATTAAATGGTCATAAGTTGAGGACTGCCTGTATTTAACATATACTGGGTCCATGCACACTTATTGAGAACCAGTTACCTACATTTTAAATATTTGGAAGCTAGTGCCTTTATAAATGAGATTATATGATTATGTGAATGTTTCATTCTGCCTCATGACCACCTCTAGATTCTGCAGTCCCTTCTCTTCCTCCTAGTTTATAGTTTCCATTTGAAAACTATAGCAGTTTCCTTCACTGTGTGCTCTCAGCCAATTAGAAGATAACTCATAATGTGCGTATTGAGCATCAGTTTCTTAGAATCGCAGCTAGCAATATGGACCCTATGAAAATGGGAAATTTACATTCGAGTTCCTGAATCTTACGATGGCCCAAAGCTCCTCAACCAGCTCATCAAACAGAGATTATCTGAAATATTATAATCTAATTACCAAACAATTACTGAGCATGTTTATACTAGAGATCTTTTGCAGATCTTTTTCTAAAATGGAACTTTACATACTATACTTAATTTCAAGGGAAAACATTGGGTGGTCAGTTTTGTTTAGTCAGTCTAAAAAGAAGTACATGACAAGTGAAGAAAGACAAGACAACATAAGGTTTCCTTCAGCATTCTTGGAAATGCAAGCATGGAGTAGAGTGTATGTGTATGTTTGTACACATGTTCATATGCACTGAAAGTCAGATTAGATGACATTTTGCTTAAATCAGATTCTCTAGTTCAGTGCTTCCTGTTGTGACTGACAAGGGTAATCCAAAGGTTTAACCTCATAATACTTCCTAGGTGTGTTGCTTGAAATTTGATAAACTGCCTCTAATTAAAACGGGGACATTTTTACGTGCAAAACGTACAATGTTTCTTTCCTGTCATCTCTGTGTGCTGAATTTTATCTAAATTCACTGCTTTCTTTTTGCATATTTGTTTTACTATGCAGGGTTCTTTCAATGAAAGAAATCTAGAATCCCAAACTCAACCTTCTGTAATTGTGAATATGCTCCTTTAAAAAACATGTATGAAAAATGGTTAATGATTATTGAAATAATCCATCTCTCTGGTAAAAATAAGCCTTCATAAAATAATGACTATTGACTTGGAAAAACAGCATGCCGTTCCTTTTATTTATCAATTCTGTTAATGCTGAGAAACTCAGGAATAAAAAAAAACAGTAATTACTTTCTTTTAAAATTAAATGTAAATACAACCATGTTGTAGATTAAATGTATTGTAAATTCTTTGCAATGCTTTTCTTGTCTACCTCCAACTTCAATAAATAACAGTAATAATGTTTTTCTTCTCTGTTCTGAACAGTTTTTCATGAAGCTAGCAGGTTTTTTAAAGGCAGATATTAATTGTAATCAGATGAAAACAGCTGCAAAGATACAAAAAACTGCTCTCTTGTTTTGTTCAATTAATCCCAGCAACCATGTGATCCCTAGAAAAGAGGCAGCTTCTTCAAAGCGTTCCTGTATCTTTTTGAAATACAGTTCCAAATTGCAGCACAGTTCTATCAGGCTACCACCAGTAATTCAAACTGGAAGGAGATATTCAGGAACATCTTCTAAATGCATCAAGTTGGGATTTTCTAGATCTCTGTACTGATATCTGGTGGTGGTCAGGATTCATGCTGCCTAAAATTCAGACAGTTATTTGTCTAAGGCTAAGCTGAACTTACCTATTGGAGACACAGAATAAGGGAGTGTGACCTCTTATGTATGTTGTATCTAAGTTGTCTGTTTTTAAGTGGGCATGCTTCGTGTGCTTCCAGTAAGTTAATCTTCAGCATGAATGTATGCTATCTGAAGAAAACTTGCTAGGTCCATCTTAATGCAAGGAAGAAATTTTTTTCTCAAAATAATTTTCATTCCTAAGTGTCCTTTGAAGATTGAGAGAAGATGGTAGATCAAAGACCTCAATTGTTTTGCTTGCCTTCCCTCAGGCAAGCAACCATCTATCTTTTTGTATCCAATCTAGTTAACTATTCACTTAATTCTGGCAAATACTTCCCACATGGCTTATGTACTTTCTTCCAGTACATCTTCATAAAAGGTACAGTTTATTTGTGGAAGCAAAAACAAGGATGATATGCTAGAAGTAAGATACTTTTGATGAAAGACGCTTTCGTGTAGATATATGTTTTTTTGCAAGGTAACCCTTCCATGTGCATAAATGACTAAATGCTGGTTTATAAGCACACGAAGTGATGGTTCCACCTAGTCCCTACTGTTAATATCTAGGCTTGGAAATCCTATTGTTGTCACTGGATCCTTTCAGGAACCAAGCTGATGAGACTGAGAAATAAAACAGGTTTGTATCCTTGATCTAGTCTGTTGAAGAATAATTGATTTAATTGTTCTGGAATCTTAGCCTTTTGGGAATTTACTATTTTTCAATCATTTTGATACATGTCTTGAAAGTTTTATACAGGAAGTCATACCATTCATTTAGTGATCATTTGAAGTTACAATGCACTGATAAAAGTGACTTATGACCATTTTTCACATGGCCGTTGCAGCATCTCTGTGATCACATGATCAAAAATTGAATGCTTGCCGACTGGCTTGTATTTGTGTTGGTTGCAGTGTCCCGGGGTCATGTGAACTTTTTTTGACATTCTGACACAAGCAAAGTTAATGAAGCCATATTCACTTAACCATATTACCAACTTAATAGCTGTAGTGATTCATTTAACAACAGAAAAGGAAGAGATAAAATGAGGCAAAACTCAACTGTCTCGTATAATAACAGAAATTTTGGGCTCAGTTGTCATTCGTTGAGGACTATCTATATATATGGCATATTTGTAAATCCATGTGTCTTCAAAAGCTGCTGTAATAATCATATTTTTCACCCTGATTTTCTCTTCTGTGCAATTTAAAAACCATTCATTACATTTCACAGATCAAGCACCCCTATTCATAAATCATGATAATAAGTATTCAGTTGTGCCTTGTGTATAAAAATAGATATTTGCATGGACAGTAATACTGTATTGTGAGTTACATAATTTTTTTTTAAGTGTTCTGGGTGATTTTCTCATTTAAAATCCTTGTCACTTATGGTCACAAAGAGGGCCTTTTTAATATTAAAATCAATGCCTTTCAGAGCGGTTCCCATTTAAAACGATTCAGAAGTAATGCTTTGTGATTTTCAAGGAGGCAGCATCTTTATGCTTTTTTAATTGAAGTAGTCTGACCTCCTTTAGGCATCCACCATTCTTCCAGTCTTCCATGTATGCCTGCAAAAAAAGCCAATATTTTAAGAAATCCATTCATTAAAGTGAATGGAATTCAAATTCAAGTGTATGCAATAAGCTGAAAAAAGCCAGGTTGCATCTTTGAGTAGCAGAGCATATGATGTCCTTGCACTGATCCCAAACATTCCTTCCCACTCTTTCTGAAGCCTGCATGACCCCAGTGGATCCTCAGTATTGCCCTGGAATTCTTGAATTACACTAACTGCTTTAAGAAGAAGAATAGGAGAGATTTGTCATAAGCCAGAGGAGTACAAGAAAGGACTACACCATCTGCCATTTTTAGTAAAAGGTAGTCCATTCTGACTTAAGACAAATTCGTGTTAAAGATTTATAACTGTTCATTCAGTGACTGGTGACTATTCATTCAGTGACTTCAGTTTCAACGGCACTAAAAAAAGGGACTTATGGTCGTTTTTCATTCTTACAAACGTTGCAGCATCCTCATGGTCACATGATCAAAATTCAAATACTTGGCAACTAGTTTACATTTATGACAGCTGCAGTGTCCCAGGGTCACGTGATCACCTTTTGAGACCTGACAAGCAAAGTCAGTGGGGAAGATTCACTTAACTGGATTATTAATTTAATAACTGCAGTGATTTACTTAACACTTGCAGCAAGTAAGATCATAAATGGGGCTAAATTCACTTAGCAGCTATCTCACTTGGCAACAGAAATTTTGGGCTTAATTGTAAGTTAAGGATTCCCTGTAGTGATTTGCTTATATCCACAGGCACCTTTAACAAAACATCTTCCAGTTGATTAGGTTGGGAGATAGAATAACACATCCGTTTCTGTGGCTGGTGGTAGCCAAGAGTGTGAAAACTATGTTTTGATATCTGTTGGTTATAGATGAGGTCTGTTTAAGAATTATAGATAGCCACCTAGTGGTTATAGAAAGACATCGCAACCAGTTTTCAGGATTGTAGTTTATGAATTTATGTCTATCCTGCCCAATTTAATATATAGCCTGTGGAGTTTTAGCTCTTCATCAGTTCAAGGAAGGACTACACCATCTGCCATTTTTAGTAAAAGGTAGTCCATTCTGACTTAAGACAAATTCGTGTTAAAGACAGTTAGGAACTGTAGCCATTTTTAACTGGTGACTATTTGTTTCCAGGTGATATTATTATTTATTACATCTAAGGACATTAAAGACATTAATATCTAAGGATATCATTATTTAATACATCTAAGGACA